GTCCCCGGGTTGCGGCCGCCGCCGCGAAAGTGGCGCGCGCTGGGAGCGCTCAGCGCTGGCCCGCCGGGCCCGATCCCGCGCTCGCAACGGCCGCAACCGCCGCTCCCCTCCCCCTCGCCGTCCCCTTCCCGCCGCACCGGCTGCGGGGCCGCTTCCCCCCCCGCCCCGTCCTCCCCCCACATCCCTCCCGCCTCGGGGCTCCGCCAAGAGCCGCCCGTGCCCGGGCGGCCCGAGACACCTCGGGGCGCACGGGCCCCGCCGGGCCGTGCACGGGGCGTTTGAAAAAAAATAAGCCGAGCGAACTTGACGGAGGGAGAGGTTCAGCTCCGCCAGGAGCCGCCCGGCCCGCGCGCAGCGCCTAGGAGCGCCCGTGAACTTTCATTTTCCGCCACCCCCTTCCCCGGGCTCTGCGGGGGACTTATGCCAAGGTAGCTGGTAGTTGGCTTGGCGTCCCTAGCCCCATTTCACAGGCGGGCGGCGGGGCCGAGATGGAGGTGGCGGGCTGCTCGAGGCGCCGAGCAAAGGCGCCTCACGGGGCGGCTCAAACCACTAGTCTGCACTTGACTTGTGGCTGCTGGAGGGCTCGTCCCTGCGAGCAGTGCTCGGGCCGGGCGGACCCCGCGCCTCGCGCGGGGACCTGAGGCGGCAGCGCGGGCAGGTCCGCAGGGTTCCCGGCTCCGGCTTTTACACCCCGAAATCATCGTCTTAATAAAAGCAGTAAATCGCAGAGGCCTCACACTTGCAAACCGCGCTTCCCGTGACTCGGGGAAGATTTTCGAAAGTGCATAATGAGAGTCCAGGAGCTCCCTTCGCCACTGACTTTGAAAATCCTCCCTTCGCGTATTTGAGCTGGTCCTGTTAAAATTCAGCTGGACGGCTTACAGGGAAATGTTCGCAGGCTCGGGGCCTAATGGTGCTAATGATTCCCCTGCTTACTTGTAGGGCTGCAGTGTCAAAAATACAAGCAAAGCGAGCTTTCTAAGGAGAGGTAATCTCTCTTTTTCTCTCCCTCTTTTTTTTTTTTTTTTTTTTTCCCCTCCTCCAACTGATGCACTTGGAGAAAACAGCAAGCTTTTGGGCTCAGAAAGCTCAGACCATCATGGCTACGAAAACCGAACTGTTAGTCAGGAGAAAAAAAAAAAGCAATTCTGGAGCTCCCTAGTGAAACGGCAAGGCAAAGCAACATGTAAGTAATCACATAGCTAATATTATGTATTTATGTTGCTATATTTTCCTCGGATTTGAAGTTCGATGTTGTTCAGGGAAGTTCTTTTTTTTTTTTTTTTTTCCTTCTCCTTAGAGAAAATTAGCCAGCAGAATAAATTCAGTGCCTAAGAGTTTTATGCTAAAAAAGGAGAAAATAGAAATATTTTGAAGAATATTTATATTTTCACTCTTAATTTATTAAAAGTAGTATGAGTGAAAATTTCAAAAAGTGTGCCTTTGAACTGAGGAGAATTATAGTAAATATTTTCAAATTTTTTGAGGGTGGTGTACATATGAAAAATGGGACTGTGCAGTAGAAATATCAATAAAAGCAGGAAAGGAGAATATAAATTATAATATTAGCTATACCAGTYCTCTGTGGTTAGATTATGTGTAGTTTTTCCCTAAAATATTTCTAGTAATTATTTTTCATCTGAATAGCCATTTAATCCAACCATAGTATAGAAATAAGATACAGAAGATAGAATGTCAGCCTGTAGATGTACTCTWTTATCTGACTCTAACTGTTGTTCTTTGGACCATAATTTCTATGGTTTCATTAAGATTTTTAATAAAGGTGCTGTTTTTGCATTCCCTGATAGCCATTATTTGCTCACAGATCCAGATACCATTCCTAATGCATATAGGCCTCAGTTCTGTACAATCTGAAATATATATCATTTTATGTGAGCACACTGAGCATTCCTATTCATTTTTATGTTCTTCTGTTTCAAACTTAAGTTAATGCATGTATTAAGTGTATTTCGCAATCTTTTTTTYTTTCAGTATTACTCACAATTTCGTGAAACAGAACCTAATACAAAAATCTTGATTTGCCAGATTCTTCAATTTGTATCACTGGGATTAAATTTCTGTAATGTACAAATATATTCACTTGAAGATCAGAGTGGTTAAATATTTAACTAGCAGAATAAGTAAGAAAGTTGGGCAATCCCAATGCAATATGAGGTAGCTGTTGCATTCTCTGGCTGTAGCATCTGGGTGAGGATCATCAGCTTGTTTCCTCTGTGGCTTGTGAAGCCAAAAAGTCACAGCAGGAACACGACAGAGGGAGAGGGATTCTGAGCTTCACCAAAAGTGAGGTCAATTCTTTAAATTAAATTTCTATTCCAAATAACTTGGGCTCGTCAGAATGGTGGAAGTCTTATCCCCTGCAGGTAGCAAATATGAGATAAATTTGCACTTTCTATAATGGATTCCCTTCCTCATTCAGAGCTCATTACAGCGCTACCTGAGCACCTTCTGTTAGTGCATGTCTTCTGTTGTGGATTCTTCTCATCAGAGAGTCTTGTTACATTGTCAGAGAATCATCTAATATTGTAATAAATGACTTGACAAACATTAGTCATGTTTTCTATTCCTTGTTGCCAGAGGAAGGACTATGTGCAGTTGAATGTTTTCAGTTTATTTTATGTCTTTTTCTCCATATATGTGTTATATATTTATATTAGTGAGGCAAGGTCAAAGAAATGTGTTTTGTTCTTCAAGCAAAATGTGGTTAGATTTTTGATAGCCCTTAGATCCTAGGTAAATTCATTCCATATACTTGAATCAGACTCTAAGTTCTGTATGTGAAAAAGGTAACTTTTCCCTCCTGTTGTGGTACAGCTTCTCTTGTGTCAGAAGAGGGAAATTGTTGACCACAGATTGTGGTCTGGAGACCTAGGCATTTCTTCAGGATTTAGGGCCTTTAAAATCTTGAGGCCCTGAATTTATGATATAAAATTGGAAAAAAAAAATCAATATAGAGCAAAAGAGAGGGACTTCCAGGAGCCCTCAGATATTACTGAGATGATGCCCCTCAGCTTCCTGTACTTTACACAGAGTTCAGTACACCCTGCAGATTTCATGCTCAGGTATAGTGCACTGCCTRGGTGTAGTTCAGAGGCTGCCAAAGCAAAGCCAGATTCCTGCCTTCCCAAGTGGTGCAGAAGCTGATAGCTAAACCGAGGATGGGTAGAAAGSAGGGGGCTGTGTTCTGACGCAGGCACACATTTCTTTATTGATTACCTACCTATGTGTGTGATGATTAGAGAAATTTCTTATATTGATACCTAGCATTTTGTCATTACTCTATAGCTTTTTTAGTCAGATTCTTTGATTTGCCTGGGTGCTTGCATCGAGATCAGTATCTAGCAGTTATTATAATCTTTTCAGTATTTGCCCAGTCTACATATAATTTTAATATTCTGTGTTGGTATAGATGRTATATCTATCATATCGCAAATGGGAATTCTATATATTTTTTTCCCTAATTTTTATATTTATATTTTTTCCTAATTTGAGCCTTACCGTGCTCTTTATGCTCACTTCTATACTACATTGCCAGCCTTGGTATAGAATAATCTGAGCCTCCAATCAACTGTTTTCTAAAAATTTGATATCAGTTGAAGTTTGAACTTTCAATTTAATAAACCTTATAACTTCAGTTGAATATCCTCTTTCACTTGTATGTTTTCTTCTTTCTTCTGTAGCCATTCAGGCTCTGGTTTGCCCTAACAAATACAGGATTGCAATTACCATGGCAATTTCAGTTTGGTAGCAGTGATAGTGGCTGTAATCTAGAAAGAACTAACTGCACAGCATTTACTCTTGTACAGTGGTAAGACTGCAGGAGCAGTGAAAGCAGAGTTCTGAATTTGCCAGTATAGAGCTGATTTAGGGATGCTTCTCTTGGCAGTAAGGATTGTTAAGAAATATGTGCTGGACTGGGACTTATATCTGCTTTATTAAATTTCCTATAAACTTCTAGATGAAAAAACTGCAGCAAATTTTTTACTGTTAACTACCTCTTGATTTTTCAAAAGCCAACTTTCAGTTTATTTTTTTCTGCCTTTATAATAAGTATTTTTAATAAAGACTAATGTAATAGTAAAAAAAAGGTTGGATTTACTATATTTATATTCAGATCTTACCATATTGTGACTGTAACATAGTTATAAGCTTGCCTTMCAATAATTAATATATCACTTTTTTCCTGGGGATTTAAGAAATATTTAATTATTKTTAAACTTAAATTTCCTGGTAAAGTTTTGCTGAAATGGCCTAAGTGTAACTTTTAAATATTTTAATATTTTTGTGGATTTAATGGTTGTGAAAAGTGCTGGCTTGGCATGTATGAAAACTGAAGCCCATTCTTTATTCCTGGATTAATTACAGCAGAGCAGTTGCCAAGTGATCTTCTCCACAGTACCCATGAACTTCAGCCTTGAACTGAAGAGGACTCATCAAATGGTGAGAAAATAGTGTAGCTGCCATGATTATTAAGTTATTGAGGGGATTTTCTACATTTTTTTTTCTTTTATTACTATTGATCCTGCTATTTAATAGGTATCAAAAATAGATTTTTCACAGTGTAATTGCTGGGACTGTAACTTCATTTCCCCCTCTCGCCAAAGTATTTCAGTTGTTAATTTCTCAAGCTTTTATCTTTCTGGTTGTCCTTTACTTTTCAAAATGACTGTTAGTAATGGACTGAATTCATTAGCTAACTTATTTATTACTTAATTTTGGGCTTAGTCCTATGTATGTACTTAACTCTTCACATGGATRATTTAGTGGTAGCACTACTGTGAGGAGTAAAGCACAGATATGTGGAACTGTTTGGAAGATTAATGCTTAAACTTTGCAGGTATGTATTTACCTGTATTTACCTGCATTTTCATTAAATGAAATGCCATTGAAATTAATGCAGGGGTGAGGGATCTGTAAAGGCTAGCTTTTTTTTTTTTCTGTTTATTTCTTTTAAGACAGCTTGATGTAAGCTGTTCATTTGCTGCTTTAGCTTCCCAGTTTCTGGAGATATTTGAAATCTGAGCTTCAAAGCTGAATCTTAAAAGCAGGGTGTTTGATTCTATTTTTTTTTTTTACAGAGGAATGTAAAAGATGGAATAACTACATATATACACACACAAAATACAGTTGTTGAGTGCTGATATCAGCTTTCTGATCAKTTAGATAAGGAATAACTTAAAGTAATGGGGCAGAGAATGATCTGTAGTTCAGGAGATGGATCACAGTGACCAGAAGCTCACAGGACCCTGAGAGATGTCCCAGACTTTTTTTTTGTTTCACTTACCAATCTGAGGGACTCAACTTTCTTTTTCCTGTAGTTACTGTATTTCAGAGTAAAGGAATAAAAGGCAGAGAACCTTTCTAGCCGCTTATGATTTCCACATTTCCTCCTATCTCTATGGTTGTTACCATAGAGATTGGAACAGTGGAGATTAACCCTCTCCCAGCTATTTACCAAATGGAGCTTGGAGGTAAAAGTGTGTTTAAACGTGGAGAAAAGATGGTGAAACCATTAAACTAATAACTTGGCTACATCCTGTGTTAAGAATTGCTTTAGTATCATCAGCCCCTGAACTAATTTAACCTTTGCTGGAGTTATTTACCATTTAGTGTATTAAAAATAAGATTGAAAACTTAAGCCAAAAAGAAGCACTGGATTTCAGGCAGAGTGCTTTGAGATATAACCCAGAGGTCATTTATTTTTAATGCAGATTCAACAGTCCCTTCCTTTTTTTTCTTTCTCAGCCCTTTCTTTTGTTTCATTTTTGGGACCTGTTTCTTCAATTAAGTTAATGTTAAGCGCTTAATTATTTACATTCTGCTTCAGTAAACAGTTAAGCTCGTACATAAAGCACAACACTTGCATGAGCACTGCCTCTGAAAGAAGTCTGAATCCAAGTTAGTCCCTTGCATTTTGTGCTTGAGTTTGCCTAGCTGATAACCAAGAGGTTGGATTCAGGCTAGAGCCAAAGGGTGAGTCAGCAAATAAGCAGAGTGAGGAGTTGGGGCTTGGATTTGACAGTGTGCTTGACAGTACAGACATACTGAATGATTACAAGATGACTTGAATTTTTTAGTTTAAACTTGTTTTCAGCTGGTTTGCAGAGCTGAATTTAAATTCTGTGTATGCTTAAACACATACTTAAAAGTTCTAATTTATTTAAATATATTTGGAATTGATATATACATATCAATTCCATACACACACTATGTATATATGTTTTACTTAATTAGAAGAAGAGATAGGTCAGTGTTGAACTATTCTGAGAATCTCATTCCAAGTGCTCTGCTAAGAAGATAATTTTGTTTCTTTTATTCCATATCCTTTTCAGTTAAAGCACTTTCACTTCCCTGAGTCTTATCATGCACATTGCTTCCTGCTAACCTTTCCTCTAATGTCCAGTTTTCTATTAACTTTTCCACACTGACTATTACTGACTATTCTTTGTCTCTTTTCTTTTTATGGGAGTTTTGGACAGGTCATTATACTTTTTCAGTCTTTTTCCTTCTTTCATCAGTTGTTGGAATCCAAGAGCAAATAAATTCCTCTGATTTCAACTATGCCTCTTCTGCCAGACACACACAAATTCAAGTTTAATATTGGAGCAATAGAAAGGGGAAGACTAGCACTGCAAGTGTAACTATGAGAAAGGGAAAAAGGATATACATACTATTAAAATTATTTCCTAAATTAGGGAATATCAGGATCCAAATGGCAGGATCAGGATTTTAAGGTGATTCTTTAATAAACATTACTTTTATTTTTATTTTTTTTTTTAAAGGGTCAAACTATACCAAATAGATTCATTAAGATTTATATCATGGTTCTGTTCTTGAAATCTGTATCTCTGAACTTCTCTTAAAGCTTGGGGTATACAGCATGGAATTGGAAGAGAGACAGGGATCTGCATGAAGAACAGTCAACTGCAGTCTTGGTAAGGTGAAAAAAAGTACGCAGAATATTGTATTTCTCTTAAATTTTTACTGTTATAAAGCAGCACATATTTACGCTCCTATGCAGAGTCCATAACAGAGCCAGCTTTATTGAAACAGCTCCTACACTCTCTGGATTCATTCATATTACCACTATGTAAAAATCTGTGTTCTATAGCTGAATTTGTGCTGTGACTCCTCAATGAAAAAAACAATATAAAACTAATTACTGACAAAAACAGACATAAAATCAGTGGTTATTTTTCACAGTATTGTGCTACAGTGCTTTCACTCCCAGAAACAAAACAAGATATGAGGAGGCTGATAGCACAATCCTATATAACTTTGGATTCCACTAGCTAATTTTAGCTGCACTGAGGGATGGAGGTTCCCAGAGACATATTCTGCACTTTGAGTAAAACTTAACAGCTGCAGGTAGGAAGGAGTCTTAAATTAGTGCCCACAGGGTAGAAAAAGCTGCAGCACAGACCAAGAAATTTTCTGTTCTCTTCAACCTGTTGACTTGCCAGGCAGCATGTTTCATTGGTCCACCATTGGTCAGGGCACATGTAGTTCAGGTCAGGGCACGTGTATTTCAGATCTAGCACTGTTAGGAGCTTCCTCTCGGTCCCCTAATCATCAGAAGTTGGGGTGTTGTGCAGGAACTTGGGGAAATCTGTTCAGAGGGGAAAGGAAAAGCAGCTGGGGTGGCGTCTGCTTTGGATTACTGCAGAATTGTGTTTGAGGCACATACACCAGGTGGATACATTTTTTTAGTCCTACTAGGAGTCAGGAAACAGCTTGTTTTTGGTAGGTCTCCTACACTCCCAAACCACTTGCTAATCCTTCAGTTTTATGGTCGTCTCTGTACCTGAATTAGATCCCCCTTKTTCCTGTTCACATTGGAGAAGGGAACTGTTGAAAGCAGCTTTAGTGTTTCATTTCTTTACATGTTTGGGTGTCAGCAGCTGAGCCGTTTGTTAAACTGTCAAATTTGTGATATATTTAAGCACTCCCAAGAAACTAGCTGTAGTTTGGGCTCCAGCTTTGGGTTGCTGACCCATCCTACAGTCTACACCCTACACTTCTGGAACTGTGCAGGAAGCAAGTGCTGTACTCCAGCTGACTTCCTTTGGGAGRAAAGGTCAGGAGCTGGGCAAAGAGGCAGAAAACAATATTAGGGTCTGGCTGCATAAAGCTACYATATTCCATTGTATCTTGAGAAAATGCTAAATTTCTAGCTGCATGATCATAGACTCCAGGAAAACTGATTGTTCCAAGAAGTCTCATGGGTCTGTTCTTCTTGTGCAGTGAGAAATGGACAGATTGCACGTGACTGAAGGACTGACTCATTCACTTCACAGGCTCAGGTAGGTAGTACTAAATTGGCAGGTGTTTGTTTAATATTACTGAATTTTCTGTGTAACCTTAGACAGGGGCTCAAGATTTCACATAAGGCTTTTTAAAATAAAGTTCARTTGATGGCACTGTTCTTCAGAAATAGTGGAGTTTCTTAGAATGACAGGAAACTAAGAGTCATCCATATCAAATGTAAATTAAAACAGACTTCAATAATTATTGGGCAACTGCAATAAAATGTACATTTCAAAATTTGTGTTTATCCTCCTGCCCAGTTGAAAGCTATCAGCCTGGTATAGAGCAAAAAACTGATAGCCTTCTTGGAATTATGCTTTTTTTTCCATGTTTGTTTTCATGTTTCACAAAAATAAAGACATTAGAGGAATTACTGGCAATTCAATCAATCATAGAGTGTTTCATCTCTATGAGACCTTTGTCTCTTTTGCTGGAGTCTTAAATCTTTCCACCTTGTTTACTTAGAGCAATATAGATTCTTCTGTGATAGTATATATGTCTTAAAATCTCTGTGGTGTATATATCTGTCTCCTGCAGGATTCTAGGATGTCCTGGATATTTTTGTAGTTTTTATCGCCAGTACCTCTTGCATAGTGACACCAGTTAAATATGATACCATGGAACCCGTGGCTCCCCTGTTTTAAATAGTTTATAATATATAAAACATTGTAACTGATATTTTTCATGCAAAAATATGTTTTTAAAAAGAATAGTAAGGTTAAATTCTGCATGTTAAGTGCTGTATCAACAGCAAAGCACTGATATATACAGGTTTAATATTATATTTTGTGCTTCCTGAATTTTAAATATTCAAAAAGAGCTTAAATTTAGCAAGTAGTTGATGATAGTTGACTTCCTAMGTTTTTTTTTTGTTGTTTAAAAAAGTTGACATATTTTAATCTAAAATGTCTGCTGCTGAACTACTCTTTAYCATGTATTGTCAGAAATCTATGATTTATCTATGTTATTCTGTGTGATCAGATCCTTTCACCATCATAAAGACCTCTATAAATTCACATCCCTGTGCACTGAAATATGTTTTGGTCAGCCTTTAAGCAGTCTTAAACACTAAACAACCACTTAGTAGACCAGAGAAACTAGGATAATTAATTTCTAGAAGACGATAATGAAAAATACATCTAAATTAGTATTTAAGATATATATCAGTAAAGGCTCCCATTATGTTCTGGCAGAACATACAGAATTCTTAAGCAATTTTAATCCAACGTTTTTGTAAAAAAGGGAATTAGAAAGTTCTATAAATAATATGCAACTTAAAAAYGTACAGAATTTCTTTATTATGTGCCAAATGCTATAATAAAACCAGGTATCAGAAGGTTTTGCTGCACATTAGTAATCTATTTTTTTCCCCAATATTTTTGCAGGTGTGTGAAGAGGCAGGTCCTGTTCTCACTGTTGCTACTCCCACATAGGTGGACTCTGTAACTGGTCATGTGTGGGTAGGGCCCTATTGAAATTAAGGAGATTCTGCCATTGTACAGGGTTCTGTTTGTGAAAATACAATTGCAAGATCAGGACCCTACTGTGACTCCTTACTGTGCATACTGTCAGTGTGTCATTGATTGTGCTGGAACCTGCCTTATGGGATAATGTAAGTCCTGCTTTTCCTCCAAATGTAATTCGGACATGAAATAGTCCTAAAACATTCCCATTTAGAAAATTATTACCATTTACATGTATTCTTTTAATTATGTTTTCTTGGCAGTACCAAATAATATATTCCTCAAAACTTCTTAATGGCCCTGAGGCTTTGTGGATAGTTGATCACATGATGAGAAAATTCAGCTGTAAGTACACTGAAATGATTGAATTTTTCAATAGTTAGTCTTTTCTGATATTCACATACTGCTAAGGATAAAAAAGATGAATTGAGAGCTCTGGCTTATATGTGACTTCTGTTCTTTCTGGAAAATTATATGCAATATTCCCAATAGGGATTTCATTATTCTCAACTAATTTACCAYGTGAACCTGAAGTCCAGCAGTACTGCTGTTAGGTAGGAAATGGAAAATTGTCTTGTTTTCAAAAATGCCATGCCTCTGATTTGCTCTTCACTTCTTCCCATAACCTTTTCAAAATGTATAGATCTATAAAAACCTATTTATACTGCCAGTATTTGTGTAGGTATTGCAAACAAGTTTACTAACATAATTGTCTTCTGCTGAGTGGAATACTGAAAAGTTAATAAATGTGTGTTTATATTTGTGTCAGTGTAACTTGACTAAATTAAACTAAACGGATCTGGCATTTTGAGTGAATTTAATCATGCATGTGGATTAACTGTAATCTTTTTTAAGAGAAACTACGTATCTTATTGTACCAAAGTACTCTGTGCTTAATTGGTAATAATTACCTATATCATATGCCAGTGGATTTACCCAAAATAACTATAAATATCCACACTTGGATTAAGGAGGAAGTTCTTTTCCTGTAGCTATGGGTACAGTCATTGCTATGATTCCTGTTTTTATATCCAAATGAGCAAAAACTGCGTGTAGGTGTTTTCCCTGCATAACTAAAGTGATATTATAAACTCCATCTCCTCCCCCCCCCGCCCTTTTTTTTTTTTTTGGTCATTCTGTATTTCCTCTCTGGTATTCAGATACAAAGGGGTCTCAGGATTTGAAAGATGGAAGAACTGGACATGATGCTGAATTTGTGAATAACTGTTAATGGCAGAGAAAAGTTTGGAACAGTTGCATGTTGGGGCAATTAGAGGTTCTTCCCCACAGAGCAGGAATGCAGAGAATAAGATTAAAGAAGACAGGATTTTGTTTGTTTGACACAGAACAGCCTGAAATGAAAGTAATCTGAAGAAAAATTAAGACCAAAGAAGAAAGTAGAATAGAGATTCTTACTGAAATAAAAAGGGAAATGGATGAAGAAGGTATTTCTGAACAGAGAACTGAATGCTTAGCTGCTGGCATTTCTCAATGCACTGAGTATATGATAGATTTAAGTTATACATCTCTTTTGTTTAATACTTTCAGGATTTTTTTTTGTTTTTCCTCTAAGATTGTATTGTATTAGTGATGAGCATTTGAGCTTTGAAGAATAGTCAGTGACCAGCTGTGAACTCTCTGTATAATTGGAGGGTTCAATGTGACAGTTAAAACTTAAGAGGGTAACTTAACAGAGGATAGTGGGTTATCTATAGTGAACTATTATTCATGCTAAACAGAAGCCAGAATTTCTTGTTCAAATACAGAACTTAAAGATTTTGAAATGTATCAATTTTGAATGGTGCGCAAAGCACAATTACATTGTTTTCCTTACAGAATGGGAATTTTGAAAGTTCTGGTTTAAAAAGTTGAGTGCCCTTTCTGAGATGTTTCTCTATAAAATTAAATGAAGATTTGAGAATACTGGATGTTTCTTTTTAAAAATCATTACTTTTTTTACTGAAGAAATCTTAATCAGCATATTTTCTCTTTACATTGCTGAAACTTGATAGTTTTCACCTTTTAGCTGTATTTATTCTTACTTGAACTAAATCAAATGGGAAAAAAGGAAAGGAGAGGGGAAATTAGGTGACTACAACTCCCCCCCCAACCCCTAGGACCCTCCCAACCAAATCAAAGAAGTGTCCCAGGACAGACCTAGTTAGAGGGGAGAAGAGGGATGTAGGCAATTCTAGTGACTGTTAATGCTTGCTATGATGCCAAGTACCTATTTTAAAGACCTGGAAGTAGAAAAACACCGAGAAAGCAGATAGCAAGAAAAATAGCTGATGCTGGTGGAATTTAGAGAGTCGGCATTTGCTCTACGGGCACCGTTATGCAGGCTTGGGAATACTTCAGGAGCTGGAGATACCAGACTGCAGCAAGAGAGAGTAAGTTTCCTATAGCGGCAAATGGAGATGATAGCTCTGGTTCTGTACACTAGGAACAAGAAGCAAAGGAATGTGCCTGAGCATTCAGCATGTTCATTATTGTAAGTTGAAGCTGTACATTCTTTTTCTCTGCTGTTGTTTGTGCTTGGCTTGTATCCCCGCTGTCCTGTCTTCAAGCTGGATGTGGCATGGTTTATTTTTGTTTATGTCGGAGGAGGCACCCATCATAACAAATGTCATGAACATTGTTTTTCTTCGGTCCTTGAAAGTCAAAACGTGGCAGTATAGGTAGCAATAAGTTAGTGCTAAATGTGACATGGAAGAATTTTCTGGTTGCACAGCGTTTATAGGAAAAACAATGTTTTATGTGTCACTTCATATACCGCCTCCCAGTCTCGTATCCACTCCTAAGCGGATGTAATGCATGAAAACTTTCTTTGGTAGTGTCCTCAATTCTTCATTTCCAGTTCAGTTCTTTGTTGGCACTTTTTTCAAATTTAGGTTGAAGTCCTCATAAAGCTTCCCTGCATCCTCTGTAAATGACACCATCATGCTGTTGTTTTGTTTTAAGTCATCAAATCTAGGCTAAATCTGAGTTTTGGAAATCGTTTTTTTCAACCCCTCTAAGGATTTCCTCTTCCCTCTCTGTCAGACAATTATATTTCTCATCCAGGTTTTCTGTGGATCATATCTTTATTAGAAAATCTTTTTCTTTTGCCTGGATGAATGCAGTCTTGCCACGTTCATTATGTATTCGAAGTGCTACTGTAAATTTCCAAACTCACTCATTTGGCTGTTTCAATCCCATCCTCCAATTTAAAGCAATAAAGATAAGCTATCTGTCTTTGTTTTCAAGGCCCATCAAGACTACTTCTACCTGATATCTCTTCTTCAGTATCAAGAGGTTGACACTGATTTTGATCAACATGTGATGCCAGCTTCCATCACTCAGTCGTTAAAATTTTCAGACGACACTGGATACTTTCTCTTCAGCTGCTTCTCATACATTGGTTGACTTCTTCATAAACAGAACTGCTCACTATCTTCCTTTAAAATCCTCTTAGTGTTTTATGTACCTCAAAGGTTAAAACAAGCCAACTAGACACGAGGTATATTGCAAATACATTAATACCAATGCTTATCACAGTCGTACTGTGTCACTGCCTTTGTACTCTGCCATAATCTCTCTCTTGTCTCCTGTGTGTAGAATTCAAGCACGTTGACTTTTTGTTCTGTGTTTGTTCATGGCCCAAACAAATGGAAATGGGTCCAGGGTGAGGCTTCATAAGATCTGTGGTAGTTTAAATAAATAATGTATATCCATTGGATACTGTAGGGTATCTGTTGGATTCTACTTTGCCTCACRTCACATCGTATTTCATGCAGAAGGAAGGTGCTACAAAAAGAGGCCTCACAAAAGGGGAGGCAGAGGTGAGCTGCAGCCCGCAGATAAAATGCTGACCACAGAGGCCTTCTCAGCTGTCAGTCCCAAGTCAGTAGCTGTTGGATTTTGCCCTGAAAGCCTCCTTCCCACAGCTTCTCCCCAGCAGTAAGAACAGACTCTCCTTCCTCGTGAGAGAACGAAGTAACATGAATATTTCAAAGTTCTCCAGTGTGTGCAGAAGGAAAAAGGTCTTTCTATACTTCCTCAGTGTTCATCCATTCCTTAGCGCATTCCCTTCCTGACACAGCATCTCTTGCTCCTGAAATCTTGAATGACCACAAGCAATTGTTCCAGCAATCCTGTTGGTTGCCCCTTTCTCAAATGCCATCTGATTCTCTGTTGAGAAGGCACCTACACTCATTCTGATGTGGTACCTAGGTACATTCTTGTCTCATAATGCTCAGCTTTCCTGGTGCCTTGGAGATAATGACTCTTCAAAAGAGTGGTAAGCATGAGTTGCATCAGGATTTCCCCAGGTATGTTGCCTTCTTTCTGGAAGTAGCTCTTTTTTTCTGACAAAGCAACACTGATGTATTGGCATATAAGCTGGTGTAGAGATGATAAAGAGGCTGTGCAAACAGATGGCACTATATGTGCTAAAGATAACGTAGTCAAAAAAAAGTTGATTTTATCAACATATACTACAGAACATGATTACAAATGATTCTGTACCTTTATAGGAGAAGTCTAGTAAGAGCTCTGAACTGGTTGATGGGATGGAGAGGGCAGCTGTGAAATGCTGAAGGAGACTAGAGAAGCTCTACCACCAGAAAGCTTGATCACAGTGAGAGTTCTCAGTTATCTATATATAGGCTGGATAAATTTAACGGTAGCCATCATGCACAGACTGTATTTTTAGGTACCATAAAGAACTACTTTTTGAGGAAATTAGCTTGAGAATCCACAAGAGAGACAGCCATAGATTTAGTTCGGAGCAGCACATAAAGACTTCGTTCAAGAAGTATCTATGGAAGAGCCTTTCAATARGGGTATCTCAGAGCATGCTCAAATTTGTCATGCTTGTAGGAGAAWAAAAGACAAACCTCCCATTCCAATATTGCTTACTTTAAAAACAGRAATTACATGGATATGAAGAAACAATTTAAATGAAAAATAAAAAGGATCAGTTAACAAGGTRGACTATGAGGAAGCACAGAGAGTTGCTTTTTGATTTGAGCCCAATTAGGCAAGAATTGTCTGGCACAACTGAAGAGCAGAACTARATAGAAACAAATAGACATTGTTCAGAATGTGAAATACAAACCAGCAAAACAGCAAAATGCACAACTCTGGCAAGTTAAGTGTAGATCYGTTCTCGTAGGTGGTTGGGTTGTGAGGCTAATGTGTTATCAGGAGATAAAGAGAAAAAAAAGATGATGAAGCCGTATCAGGAAAAAGAAAAAAAGGAAGAATTCTTTGCACTAGCGGAGTTTATCACAGGAAGGTTAGGCATATCCCCACTCCAAAGCTATTATAAGGAATTAAGGAATGTCTCAGATCTAAAATGTCAATAAAAGACATTTTGGGGCAAAATGATTGAACAAACATGAACAAATTGCAGGATAACATGTTGTTCATTCAGTAGTCCTAGGGGAAGTCAGAAATGAAATTGCTGAACCAAGAGCTGGGTTGTGTAATCTATCACTTAAATTAGCCTTGATAACAGAGGGATGGAAACCAGCAAATGTGACACCAGTCTTTAAAAGGGCTCTAGGGATGATCTTGAACTAATAAGTGTGGCTTCCATGACAGGCAAAGTGACAGTATGATAAAGGATATAATTAATAGGAACATGGATAACTATATTAGACAGCCATCCTCTTGGCTTCTGTGCGGGRAAGTTTTATCTTGGAGTTTCATTAATTATTTGAAAGAATAAACAGATAGATGCATAAGGCGATCGAAAAACCTTCAAAAAAAAAAAAAGGTTCCTCACCAAAGACTGTTGCCACAGTGAAGAATTGGGTTACTGAAGAAAACTTTTTTGAGGGTCA